GAATTAATCGTTCATCGTCGCATCGTGCATTTGCGTGCACCTTTGCTTATAGATTCATACAAGTGAGCGAATTAGAGAAAATTATTATTATTATTTTGTTTTAATATAAATTCATTTTTTAATCTCATTTGATACGACATGCAAATTATTATGTAAAATAGTATAAGTATCTAAAGTATATACGCGAATAAATTCACGCAGAGTGTTTCTAAATAAGTGCGAAAAATTTGAAGAAAAGATCTTTGTCGAAAATTAAGAGAGGTTTTTCATATAAACATGTACTCCTACATCCCTCCCTGGACTTTCCTCCAAAAATGAGAGTAAAAATTAGGTTTTTATTTTTTTCTCAAATTTGGAACAAGTAAAAAGAATCAAATTAAATTTAATATTTTCTACTAATAAGAAGGTTATTTATTAATATTTTTTTCAACCTCCCGTATTATTATAAAGGGATGACATTAGCAATCCCTATTCAATTTTTTATTAGAACTTTTTAATGTTCTTATGAAACGCTCCTCTTAATTTCCGACAAAGAATCAACTCCTAAAATTTTTCGCACTTATTAAGAAACACCCTGTATATATATACATATATATATATATATACATATTGGGCGAGGCTATAATTTCTTTGGCGTCCATATAAGCGAATCGAGGATCATACGGGATTTCATATCGATGTAGCGCGCTATCTGGCCAGCTCTCCGAGCGAAAAGGACACAAGGGGGATCTGAATCATTGGGAGATTCCGTATATCTCGTACTCGTGCCACAGTATCGCAGGCCCTTGGAATTGTATCGCATTCGCGACGATAAATAAGCGAGGACAATACGCGACTCACGGTATCATTCCCGCCGCTACGGTGGACACGTACGGGGAACCCATAAAGCGAGATGATCTGCCTTCGTTTCTCTTGGTCTCTTGGTGAGAGCACGCTCCGTCTGACGTATGGGATTGGTAAAACCATAGATAATCGGGTGCGATTTTGTCACACCGGAAATACACATGGATGGAATGTTACAGTTCTCTTTGTCGAAAAATTTGCTTGTCGCATATATGCGGCATTTACAACGCAAATATCATGCTTGGAAAGGTATTGTTTTTCATAAATATAAAAGAACATATGTGTGTGAGAGAAAGAGAGAGAGAAAACTCGTGTCCATATAAATTAAAATTGTTGCATCTAGAATGCAAAAATTTGAAGTTAAAAATAAAAAGAAATTCGAAAATAAAAAATAGATAATGTATAAAAAAAATAGATAATGTATAAATAGATATATGTATGTATATTTCAAAATATATTAAATATCGTTAACTCGTACAATATAATACAAAATTTATATTTCTTTCATTTACACAGCTTTAAATGGATCACTGTTAACTGCTAAAATCAATTTATTGAGGAGACAACAAAATTTGTTAAACGTGCAAATGTTAAAATCGCTCCAGTGAAATTAATTTTCGGATTCGTCTATCTGCATGTGTCATGCGGGCACTAAATTAAAAGTGATAAAAAATTTGGTATCGGCAAACGAAAAAATGGATGAGTAAGTAAATGAATAACTGTAGTTCAATGCGAAAAATCCACACATTGAAATTATGTCATAAAAAGAATAAATATGATTAAAAATAATATATTTATTTTTGATCAAACGGAATATTATTAACACATTGAATTTTTTCGGACAACGTGTCAAGTAAGTTTTATAATACATGACGCAATTTATAGTCGTGATTTACGATTGTTGTTATCGTATATGTGCGCGAATTAATGATATAATTAGCTACGCAAAATCACAGTTGTTTCAGTTGATACAATAACATATTTAATGGAAAAATTTTACGAAAGAAACAAAGCACAAATAAAAGCACGAAGAACGCCATACAATACACTATACAGTTATGTCTTTTTACAAATGTGAAAAAAATATACTATGTACATTAAATTATATATACTATGTACATTTAATTATATATTAAATTATATTACAAATTATATTTATTACATTTTTGCATTTTTATAAGAAGTATAGATATATATTAACGAAAAATATAGCAATAAAATTTCAGATGGATGTGTGAATATCTTGTTAAGATGGCGCAATAATCATGAGATAATATTTCTCGAAAAAACAATTTTTTAAATTTAATGAAATATTTAATCAATGCTCATTAAGTCGATAAATTTTTGAAAATAAAACTAATGGAATAAAAAAGAAATGGCGATAAAATAAATTATTATTACATTTCTTTTAAATTATTTATATCTACTTTCATAGATAGATAGATTTATTTATTTCTTGCATTTCGGCATTGAAAGAGGTTTAAAATGTACATTGCAGACTTTATAATAGGCTTAACTTATACAATGTTGTTTCTTATCCTAAATAATCTCAATTACTTCTAGATTGTCTTTAATAATTTCTTTGATTTCTTTAATAATTTCTTTTATTCTCTTTTCTTAACCTTAGAATTATCTTTATTCAATTAATTCTCCCTTTTCTTCTAAAATTTAACTCATTCTTTTATTATTCCTCGTATCTTTTGTACAATTTATTGCTAATGTTTCTATTTCCTTCTGACACATTCTACACAGTTTCTTTTCCTGTTCATGTCGAAATTTATTCGGAGTTCTTCGTTTCCACCTCTAAATCTCGCTATGATCTTTTGAAAGTCTTTCTGACCTTGTTTAAGTCAAGACTAATTTCTTTGAATTGAAATTTATACTTTTGACTACATATTATTGCAGCTGACCCGTCAAGACATTTTTAAAATGAGTTTTTAAATTTTTAATAGAGCTGAATTCTGTTCTTTCGGTTGACAACATTTAAATATTGATATTATCTGAGATCAGATCGTAGAGATCAGATTTACTCTTTTTTGTGTGTGAATGTGTATAGATATGTGAGTATGTAGTTTAGTGGAGTAAGTATTCAAATTTACCTCTGTTTGTTGCTTGATAATAGCCTAACCTTTGATAAAAATTATTCATAACATAATTTCTTCTATACATCAAGAAAATCTTACTTTTTTCATGTCCAAACGTGCTGGGTCATGAATACTCGAAAATACACAGTAAAAAATTGTACGTCCATATGTTAAAATTTTCTTGTATTACTACGTTTTGATTAGCACTTTAATGTGAAATTAACATACAACTTATATGTTATTATTTCTATAACGTTTTCATATGTTACATTTATGTCAATTTCATAACTTAACACTTTGTATATGTCTTTTAGAAATGGAATATTATTTTAATCATTTTGATTTTTAATCATTTAAAACAATCAACATGTCTCAAAGTCAGTTTTGCGTGTTATGTGTGAAGGACAAAATATATAGGCAATAAAGAGTACATCATCTTGGACATCATATTGCATACATAGCTGGAAAAGATATCGATATAGAAAATGATGACAGACGCGGATTTTACGTCTGCTTGTACGATCATTAGCGAAACATAATTAAGGCTATAGCACACACTTTCCATAAGACATAACAGTAAGGTTTCGACTAATCACGTTGCTCAATTTCGTTAAGGACGGCCAAATTGAGCAACGCGATTGGTCGAAACCTTACTGTTATGTCTTATGGAAAGTGTGTGCTACAACCTTTAAGGCCGCAGCACACACTTTTGCATAAGCGCATAACCATAAGCATAAGGAAATTGATTGGTCCCCAAGTATATGCATAAGAAAATGAACCAATCAATTTTCTTATGCTTATGGTTATGCGTTTATGCAAAAGTGTGTGCTGCGACCTTTATGCCTCTGAACAAATGACAGCCACGGTCGCTAGCTAATTTTTTCTTTATTGCCTTTATAATCATCAAGATGGCATCGCATAGGGTTAAATTCCGAAAAGCTTTAAACCTTCAAAAATAAAATAAAATAAAAAATAAAAATTTTATTCTAGGAATTTCTACTGGATAGAAGAATGCAGCTAAATATAAAGGGACCGAAACACAATGGAATACAATTGGACACACTATCTTTATACTTGCGTCTTTCAGTTTTCAGTTGTTAGTTTTCACACTGTGAAAACATCTGGTGAAAAAGGAGAAAGCGAAAAAAAATCTAACTGAAAAATTAATCAGAATGACTCTGTCCGTTTTAGCACATATTTTTCTCTAAGGAAATTCCTTCTTAGATAAATTTTTTACAAACTTAAACATTTTAAGTAACTTCTTTTGAATATTTTTAACTTTTATAAACTTCTAAATACTTTTAATATTTTTAAATAAAAACTCTATTAAATAAATAACTCTAAACATCAAGTAATAGTTATATAATTGTTAGTAATAATTTCTTATTCAACAATATAACTTACTTGGTGTTTGCTGGAATGTATTTATTTATAGTAAAACAAACAAAAATAATATTACAGATAAATATAAAATTATTAAGTCTGATATAATAAATTTTAGAGTTACACAGATTATGTAATTATTATATCCGTTACTATATCCGTTACTATAACTAGATTTTATTATATTTTATCGGTTACTATATCCAATAAATATAACTATAGTTTAGTTTTGTTCAGTAAAATGTTTGCTATAGGAAACTCGATTCTGGAAGAACAGGACGAAATCATTCTGATTGATTAACCTTCTACCTAGATTCCTTTCCGTTTCTTCCGTCTCTTCCGGTTTTGCTATCCTTTTTTATCGAGATACGCTTCAAGACTAAATCTCGAAAAGCTAACTAAAAGCTGACTAAATAAAAATTTGATTTTAGGAATTTTTATTGCAAGAATAGAAAAATGATTGATGTATCTAAATAGAGACAAAGAGACAAGTATTATATTATCCTTATACTTGCGTCTTACAGTGAGTTAAATTTCGAAAAACTAAAATTACTATGTTAAAACTTGATTTTGGGAATTTTGGGACTGGTGGGGAGGCTAGAGAAACGATTGGTGCTTCTAAGGACAAAGGGATAAGTGTTTATCCTTACTTCTAATGTTCAGTCCGAAGTTAACTTTCGAAGTGAATGCAATAACCAAGAAATATACTTTTATTAAATATTTATTAAATATCAAGTAAAGTGATCTTAATTCAATTGTTATGGAACGAATAATGGAAAATTACTACATAAATCCAAAAAGTATGTATAAAATATTTTTAAATTGATATAGCCTAAGCTAAACTTTTTATCTTGTTGATATAAAGCATGATTCAGTGTGACTTTATGAAAATGATATAATTTTAGAAATTTCTATATATTTTTTTTTAATTAAATGAAAAGTTACATATATTATATCCCACGAAGATCTGAGTTTAGCGCTTTAGTTTCTTCTATTATTATACGAAAGTCACAAGAATCAGTTGCTGATAGATGCCTACCACGTGCCACACAATGGAGTTAAATCTCAAAAATATTACTAATTCATTTCTTTGAATTACCTTTTGATATTTTGATTATTAATTTGAATTGAATTACCTTTTAATTATTAATATATTTCTGATATATATATATATATATATATATATATATATATATATAACAATGCATCATGTAGGCGTAAATATCCTAACGGAAAATAATAAATTTAGATATCAATATACAAGGCGTCCCCAAATATACAAATAGAGTTAACTGAACTGAAAAATTCTATATCATTTTCTAATCACGTAAAATTTCGAAATATTAATTAAAGAAGATCGAACGTAATCTCTCCGTATGGCTAGATAACATGCACGTTTCAGGCATGCTAGCGGGGACTGTTGTACAGTGTTGAAAAACCAAGAGTCGGAATATTTATCTTTTATTATATGAAAAGCTGTTCTTAATTGAGCTATTCTTACTGCGGTTTTTATCTTTTTGTTGCTATGCATTACTTGCCATTGGCACGTCTAGAGCGTACAGCTTATGATACAATTATATGATGGATCGCGCGCTGACTTTCTTTAATTAATATCTCGAAATTTTTGCATGTTGTTTGAAAAAAAAATAATATCTAGAAATAGAAATTTTTCATGTTGTTTGCAAAATAGTACAGGATTTTTCAATTCAGTTTAACGAGATCTACATATTTTCGATGGGACAATTTATATAAGACATTCTGTATATAAAAAAAAGATATAAAAAAGTTGCGATATATATATATGTGTTAAGATGTGTTGCGATATATATATGTATAAATATATGTGTTCAGATCTTTCTGTGCTCGCGTGTATATAAACACGTACATAAAATTCAACATTTGCTGTACAAATATTTTTGAAAGATAGACATATTACATTTTTTCAAGTATTATAAATATTGAAATCAAATTGAATCAAATTGAATCTAAATAGTAATATTATATATAAAAATAATTTAAAAAAATTTCATTTATTTATAATTCGTATATAATAATAATTTCTAAAATTAAAAATATTAAAATAAATCTATATACTATAATCAGTTATAAATTTTTTAATCTGAATAATAATTAAAATAAAATACTTAAGTTACTTAAGTTTTTATGAATATTTTAATTAAAAATTCTAATAAAATAACAATTTTTATTTACTAATAATAAAGAAATGATTAAAGAAATATTTATTATTAAATTGAGAATATTAAATTGTAAATTTAATATTGATTCTTTTGGTTTTATATTTTATTATATTTTTATTGTTTTAATCACATATTTGAATGCAGGTTATTGAAAAATTTGAAAGTTTAATAATAGGTTTAAATTCATTAACAGTTATAGAAACCTAATGATAAATTTTAAGGATAAAAAAATTTTAATATTGTTATATTATTAGTTGTAAGAGCATTTATTGCAATTTTAATTTTTGACGACTACCTATACAAATAAAAATATACAAATAAAAATATTGTTATCTTTTTTGGCAAAAACTTCACTTATTATACAACAATATTGTTAAATTTATACATATAGGCATGTGTTAGACAGTGTATTAGTATTTCCATGTGTATAAACAATCATATATGTTTCAACTTGTTCGACGTCTTCGCATATACGTGTTTCCTATTTTCATATATTCTTCCACACTACTTTCTATATTTTTTGTATTTTTTCATGAAATAATTCTTATTTTGTATTTAATAGTTACAGTCAGCGATAAAGTTACGATGATACTCGTATCGTATCGCTTTATTTATCGCATCGTTTGAAATAGACAATAGACCAAAATAATTAATTAATGACAATAAATCGTGATGCATCATGATGAATCATAACCGTATCATGATGAAAAAATCATAATTATTTTCATATACATTATTATTTTAATAAATATATACATAATATTTACGACATTGCGATAGCATAGATTTTGATAGTATCTTAATATCTTTTAATATAGGTTTTGTATTGTAAATTTTATATCTGTGACGTACATAGCGGATATTATGTTACTGTGGAAAGTAAAAAAAATAAAAATGGAATTATTTAATTATTTTATTGGCACGCATTGGCTCTTATGCCATTTTCTTTTTAATTTTTTGATTATTTGAGTCAAGTCTCTAATTATTAAATTTAATTATTTTACTTAATTATTTTTATTTAATTAAAAGATATATATGTATACAGTAATATGTAATATTTGTAATAATAGAATTTAAACTGAAGAGTTAAATTAGGAATTTATAATTATTATGGAAAATCATTAAAGTTTAATCTGTTTATGAACATGTCCCGACATTTAAAAGACTGAAAAAAAGTGGGAACTGCAACAAAATACAACGCAATGCATAACTAATATAAATGCAAATATTATAATTATTAAACGATTCCTCTTATGAATTCTATGAGATTTATGATATCTCGCTTAGAACTGACATATAAAATTAATAAATACAGCAAAAAACTTCAAATATAACTATTCACTAACACTAATAATTATTTTGATTTAGGGATGAGCAAACTAACATGCAAGAAATGTAACGCTGTTGTAAAGAATGAATCGAAGACGTTATTTCAGCATATGATGAAGCATTTACATCAACACCCACAAAATGCTGCAGCTTCACAATCATTCCTCATACCACAAAGGTAAGAGAAATTACGTTAAATTACATGTTTACCTTTTGAATTATATATATATTCATTTATATATACTTTCGCATATATAATAAGAATGTGTATCATGAATAAAATTACAAATTTTAAATATTTATGGCTCATGAGTTTACTACAAATTGTAAATATTCAATTTAAAATTTAATGTTAGGTTATTATATTAAATAAAATACCATAACACAAATTTATTAATTTAGTACATTTATAATCGATTATTGTGACATATTGTATAAATATAAATTGTAAACAAGTATGAAAATTTATTTAATAATGGAGTAAGAATTTTTGTATTTGGATATTAAATTTTTTTTACAATAGTGCCGCTAAATTCCACAAAGCTGGTCGAAACTTCAAAAAAAAATTTCTTAGAATTTTGACTGAAAGGATAGAGAAATGATTTATATATGTATTTATTAGGGACAAACATCTATTTTTATGTTAATGTATCTTCTACCTGTGTCTCACAGTAAAATTCCATTCTGATGGAAAAGAAAATAACGGGAAAAAGAAACGGTACTAATAACGGAAAGAAATATATATGTATATTATAAATATATGAAATATATAAATCAGCTTCTCGTTTAGCTAATTCTATATTTAGACATAACAATTTAAATTTATCATCTATATTTATAATATATAGATAATTCAAACATAATTAATTAACAATCTTTAAAAAAAGTGTACATTTACTAACGTGCAAAAGTCTTTGGTAATAATTGTTAATAAAAGACAAAATATAATGAAACAATGCTAAATTTTATATAAAACATTGTTTTACATGATATTTTAAAAATATAAACAAGAACTTTTTATTTACTTAACGCAAATAGTTCGATTTAATTCAAATTTTGCTTTCATCGATGTAGTCTCGTTTAGTGTATTATTTTGTATAATTTTGGCGTTCAAGACATTAATTTTTCTATTATTTCGCTTATGTTTCTTCAAGCTTTATTTAAACATTCTCAGAAGTTTTGAAGATTTATTAAGGCCATCATACGAGCCTTTCTATTCAATTTATCTTACAAATTTTCTTAATAGGCTTGAGATGTGATCGCGATGGTCATGATTGTGAAAACTTTTGTTTTCAAACAATTCATACATAATTTGAATATATAGGATTGTTATCTTAACTGAAAGATAAATCCTTTGTCAATATTCCGAGTTCTAGATAGCATTGTATTTTGCACTAACAATAAGATACTATGATACATTTTTTTATCACTTTTAGTTAACTTTATATTAAGCTCCGAATATTTTTTATCAATCTTTTCGTTTACGCAGCGCGATAACTGAAAAGATAAACAAGATTATGATAAGATTATACGTATAACTTCATATGTATTCGAATATACATCAAATACATATTCTCCGACTGTTTTTCAAACATATTGACGTCTTTTAGTTCCAAATCATTCAAACTTGGACATACAAAAAAACTTTCTCCCATTCTTTCAATGCCCAAGGTTGATGTTCTCTAGCCCATTGAAAACGATTTGTTTCATTCACACAATATAAGTAAAGATTTTCCCCTTAGACCCATAATAAACATTTTCCCTTTAAACCCATTTCTTGTATTATCAACTGACATCGGAATTTTTCTATTTTTATTTAAGTTTTCTTTCTACAGTTGCTGAAAGTTTTCTCTTTCGCTTGTTTATGACCATTTGTCTTTCATTTTTTATGTACATTTTTTGGTCACCCACAACGTTTTCTTGTCACATGTATATTCCTGTTTCTTGAAGTCGAGCTAATATGTATGTTAGCTTTGAAATTTTCAATCTTTCGCAATTTTCGCATAAATATAATCTTTTTCAAAAAGAATTTTATCATAAAATTTAACTGAATATTCACATTTTTTATTTTTCAATTATTTGTAATAACATTGCAACAAGAGACACAGAAATTTAAATATTAGATTTATAAAACGTATATCAATATTAAATAATTAAATTATTTAAAGAAGATAATATTGTGAATCAAATTTATCCATAACATATCAAAATTTAATATAAAGAAACAAGAACTGCATGACTCAGTACATAAATAACATTCCATAGATAACGTTCATTAAGAGGTCTGAATGTGTTTCCAAATAATATAAAACTTAAGATGTATTAAGTTAAAATTATAGCCTTGAAAATTTGTTGGTAAATATAAATTGACTTCGAGGAATAATTAAAATCAATATTTAAATACATTATGCATATAAATTGGAGATATTAAGTTTGACCAAAGATTTTTGCACGCTACTGTATGTATTTGATAATTTTATAGTTTTAATTGGACATATCAGAGAGAATTTTTAATTAAAAGTAAAGAAAAAATGTTACTATTTAAAACGGAGACAAGATAGTCATGCACACATTAATGCATTTTTCCCATCGCCAATAAATATATGATATATATAATCTGCATCACTAAATCGCTAAATATTTAATTAACACATGCAAACCTGCGATATCATTCTTTCAGATATCTCGGTTTAATTTATTCGTAAACTTATCGCTTTCGCGTATTGTGGCACACCGTGCCATTTGCTATACTGTATGTTTTTACGCGGCATTTACTCCCGACACGTAAACGCAAAACATAAATGCCGACGTGCGCTGTACTACGATCGCATATAATAAGCTCAGACGTTATATCCGAACTTGGGTGTGCAGCTGCAGATGCGTTGGCGCATTTACAGAAGTACAATGGCCGACATATCCGGCCCCGCACGATTGTCGGCTATAAATATCGAGATTTATCTCGATTAAAGTGCATGTATTCGCACGTGTGTACGTACACGTGCGTAGAAATGACCCCGCGTGTCTGTGTTTTTTCCTCTTTTCGCGTACGCGCCTTGGATATCCCACAATGGCAATAAGTATCCAATTAACTTATCCCAGCAATATAAATATTTATCAAATCTCAGTATGCTAAGAGAGAGAGAGAGAGAAATTATATATATTTTTGTAACAAAAAATTGATGAACTTAAACATACGAAAAATGTTTTGGATATAATTAGTCTATTATCTCCATTTGTAATTTTTTCTCGTAGTAGAATTTTCATATTTTGATATAAAAAAGTAATCTTCAAAATAATTTTACCTTTAAATAATTGTTTATATTGCATACATATGTGATATGCATCTCGATATGTATGCAATATAAGCAAAAATAAAATTACTTAAAAATAAAATTATTTTAAAGATTATTTTTTTATATCAAAATATGAAAATTCCACGAGTTATTCAAAAGTAATCCATACTGCGTAAAAATTGATACATCAAAATTGAACGATATTTCTGAATTTCGTACAACTTCATCATCCTTGTTGTAAAGTTACGTGTGTAATTTCGAGTTTCGATGATGGTTTCCTGATGGAATAATTTATACAGGTTGTGCAAGCATTTATTTTGCTCATCGCGTGTATCAGAGAATGCAGTTCGGGTAATCCAATAAAGTCAATTATTCTACGGGGAATATTCTATTGTGTGTGTAGGAATATCGACGAATTATCGACGGTAACGGTCGCTTTGCGGGAGGGATCGTGAAAGAACGAAAAAAAATCGAATTCAATTGAAATTTTGGTGCAGATCGACAGTGGTGCGACGTGCTCGGATTGTCAATAAAGTTATTATAAAATCAACACGTATACGTTTTTAGTGCGAGCGCATTGATAATGTTCCGGAAATAGAAACTATCAAGCTAAATACCTCTGATTAAATCTTATTTTAAATACACATGCCGAAGATAATGAATTGATGTTAGGAATATGAGAAAAATAAAAACAAATTGAAAAAAAAAATTAAACGATATAATTTAAGATTATTTTCACGATTATCATTTTTGTGTTTTTATTTCTTATATTATTTTCAATATAAAAATAAAATAGGTATATGTAAATCTTTACTGTTTATTGTAATTTGAATAACTCAACTTCTATCACTAATTAAAGGCTGATCCAGCACAAAGTGTATTCTAACGCGTAACATGAGTTAATTGACATTTAATGCAAATGGCTTTTAATGAGATTCCGCAAATCGTTTTCGAATAATTATTCACATGGTATTCGACATCGAATCCCGAAAGTCGATTCCACTAATGATCGTGATTGTAAAATTCGTTTACACAGTTAGCATTAAGATATATACTCTGCCGAGTACAATTCTAAAAGTTTCTTTTAACTTGTTGATTATCTACTAATCTAAAAACTATGTCAATTTAATTCTACTTTTCAATTGAAAAACTTTGTGTTATGATAAAAATAGATTATTTTTGAATTTTTCCACTGTTAAAAGTTAGATTGTAATACGATAATTTTTAATGTACTCATTTTGAAAGAAATCGCTATTCGCTATTAGAAAATTACAACAAGTTGTTAATAAAATGAAAATTCATGACATATTTCAAACTTCGAGATCATCATTTTTTATATTTCTTTACATGGAATATAATTTAATTTTGTTATGTTTAATTTATTGTTTTTGAATTTATATTTATATAATATGTGTGTGTATTATTTTTTATATAAAACTTCTAGTGAAATAAATTATCATCTTTCAATTTTTAATAATAATTATATATATATATATATATATATATATATATATTTATTTATTTATTTCTATTAATTCTTTTCATACTGCTCATATATGTTCTTATCCTATACCTTTCTTTATTTTTTTTATTAATTACATAAAAAGAGTAATTATATGATTTGTGAATTAATCCTATTTGCTAAGAAATCTACTATAATTAAAAATAATACATGACGCATAATCTACTATAATTAAAAATAATACATACACGCGCATACTTGTAGCAGAGTTATATCTGCACAGATTCATAATTATTGATTTTGTTTGACGTCATTAACAATGTATATCTTGTATTTACAATTGCAACTATTGAAGCGTTTAACATATGAAAATTGTAACAATGCTATTTATATAACTTATATAATATAGCTCTTCATGTAATA